AATAAATCAAAAAGGAACAAAGCTCTGGAAACACTTGGATGACGCTTGGGTTTGCTTTTACTAATAATGTGATCTAACGCTAAAGACTAAAGAAAAAGATTGTCCAACCTGCCCACTGCCATGTGAGCATAAATCAACAGGAACAAAAGCGCTCAAAACACACATCCCATAGGTGCCTTTTTGGTTTCTTTCTCTAAAGAAGAATGAAGTAAAGCTCTCATAACACACACATGCCCCGAGAAAAACAAAAGAAAAAACATTTCACTACTTCGGCATCCAGTGCACATCGTGGTGAAAGGCAAAGGCAAAAACGGTTATAGCAGCTGTCACCGGTAGAGAACAGAGCTTTACTCCCGGTGGAGAATTTCCTCTAGTCCCGGTTCCCCACTCAGGAGTAAGCATCCGGGACTAAAGGGGGTCCTTTAGTCCCGGGTCAAGAACGACCTTTAGTCCCGGTGGGTAACACCAACCGGGACTAAAGGTCCTCCCAGCTTTAAAAAAATAATGTCTCCCACCGCTGCGTCTCGTGAGATTCAAACCCATGACCCCATGCATTGCCTCGCGCGTAGCTTACCACCCCACCTACACAACACATCTAACAATGGATGGGATGCTTTCCTTTTGAACTAACCCATCGGAGGACCTTTAGTCCCGGTTGGCAACACTAACCGGGACTAAAGGGTCCTTTAGTCCGGGTTGGTGTTACCAACCGGATCTAAAGGGTCTACTTTTAGTCCTGGTTGGTGTTACCAACCGGGACTAAAGGTTGAGGACTTTTAGTCCCGGTTTGTGGCTCCAACCGGGAGTAAATGTCCACCTTTAGTCCCGGTTGGTGTCTCCAACCAGGACTAAAGGTCCTCTGCCACTGTGCCGAGCGCAGTAGCCGTTGGGCAAGGACCTTTAGTCCCGGTTGAAGACACCAACCGGGACTAAAGGTCTCTCTAGTCCCGGGCGCAAAAAATGCCGGGACTAGAGCCCATTTTAGCATCGGATGAAAGGTCTGTTCTCTACTAGTGTGTTAATCTGCTTTGTCCTTTAAAGCTAGTACTAATCTTCTGGGTGCATCGGTTTTGGAAAGATACATCCCTCTCAATTCATAGTGTCTTAATATTATTTTCTTTGTGAATTAATTGTTGTTTGACAATGTGACTAGGGACAAATTTGCACCCGGAGCTGGGGGGCCATAGCCTCGTTCCAGCTCAAAACAAAGTGACTACTACCGTTAAATGTTCTATATAAACAGTCTATAAAACACTACACCAGAAACAGACAATTAGTACCAGGTCAGAACCCTATCAATGCGAGTGCGTCCGATGAGAGGACAATCGGCCATGATGGGGTGGCTTCATCATTGCCGGTTTAATCGACCTAGTAGTGATATCGTGGTATTATTGTCAGGTCAAAGCATCATCTGACAATCCACAAGATCAAACCGACCTTCAATCAACAATGGAGATCAAGGGAAAGTGTACTTCTTTGCATGGGAATTGCTCAAGGTCGGTGGAGGAAGTTCCACCATCGGGCACCCCCTATGATAGTTGGGGCCACACCCGTCTGGTGGGCTCCTTGATGTGTAATGTGGGTTTGCACATGTGCGCCCATGTTGTCATGTCAGTTTCCACCTTGTGGGCCAACGATTCCATGTGACTTCATCTTACACCATTTAGAGGAAACACACTTGTGATCCAAGGGTTGATATTGCTCTTGGAGGTGTTTGGGAGGATTGCCATGGCTTGAGAAGGGGCAGTGGGCCCATAGGGGGTCGGCCGACCCCCTATGTGGGCCCACAGCCACCCAAATTCCTTCAATATGTATCAACAAGAAAATAATGATATGTACACGTGGAACCATGTTTTTTGTGCAACAAGAACAACTAGTTTGCTTGTTTACTCCAAAAAAGGATGTTTTGTTGACAGTTTTGATTATGCAAATCTATGATGAAACTACCATCAAGAAGACCCCCCCCCACACACACACACAATTAAGTCTTTGCTCGTCCTCAAGTAAAGGCTAGAAACAAAGCAAGCATGAACATGAAATCTTAAGATTTATAGTTAACATAAAAGTTATTCCAAAACATTCCTCATACAGGTGGGATATGTGGCATTGGCTAACGTATATCCTTCAACGGTTCAAAAGTGGAATGGTTCTCGAAGCAAAAGTCATCTTCCCATTTTCACATCTTAGTACATACTTGGAGTTTTTGAAAGATTTTCACAAGAAAAGACATAGTTTTGAATTGCCTTCTCTTTGTTTCATCCTACTTCTATCAAACTTATGTGGCGGTCAAGTAGGGGTAAACATGAAACCATACTTGCATTGCATGTATTGTAAAGTCAAAACAAGGATCCAAGAAGAAAAATGTCATACTCTTGGATCAAGAAATGCATGTGAGTGAAACATTATGATAAATTTTATTGCACTCCTTTAGCAAGCATGATCTCTCTCTCTCTCTAACTTATGATAATTGTGAGACATGTCTATCTTTTTTTACCAATGCTTGGACTTTCACATGTCCATATTTTTCTACTATTTTTGCATAGCCAATGTCTCTTTTGCAAGACTCTTTAGAGATAGACCACACTATATACTTTGGAATATTTATTTGGTAGAATGAAAGGCATGTTGTGCGTACTTCCAGTGTAGAAGTAGCATGTATGTGATTTTAATCTTGTGAGCATGATAAATTTCTCAACAAGGGTCAAAAAGGTTTGACCAAACTCAACGCAATAACAAGTAGCATATGTAGAAGGTTCGAACATGTTTGAACATAGCATATGGATTTCGTAGGTACACTAGAGCTTCTTTATTCAATTCATGCAGCAACCACTGGATTTGTACTGCCATCGATATCAAGGAAGGCATGGCTTGGGTCATGGATCCACTTTATAAGGACGAGGCAACATACAAAGACTTCCTAAGTAACTTGTATATATATATGCATAAATATAATTGTTACTACATTCACTTTTGGATACTAACTTGTATTTATTGAATTCCTTATAATAGGGCATACTGGCACTACGTTCAAAAGCTCAAAGGGAAACAAAATGAACAAAGGAAGGGTGAGTTGTATATCAAATCAAAATGGGCAGTAAGTCTCACTTACTATAGCACTTCCATTACCTTCCTGTCACAAGCATTACTTAGCATTTTGAAATGTGAAACACATAGTGCCACAAGCAAAAGTATGGGAGTGTACACTGTGGATATTACGTCTGCTATTACATGAGTGTCACAGGGAGGTACAGGAGACACCCTGATAGGGTAAGTTATATAGTTCACCTCGCACTATAATAACTTGGCAGCACACGAATGCATATATGTTATGAAATGTTAATCCTAGTATTGCTTTCTTACAGTGGCCTGACGATAGCTATATTAGTAATAGACCACTCAACGATGATGACCTCCTGCAGCTCGTCAAGTACCTTGCAAGTTCATAATCAAAGAGATTGTACACAAGAATGGCGCGTACCATGACCCAACGTCCCCGCTAGGACGTCAACCTGAGTGCATGTTTCTTCGTGAGTGGGAAAAACTAAGCAATGTCGTTGATGACAATGTGAATGTAATGTGACACTAGTCTTGTTTATGTAATGTGACATAAGTCTTGTTTGACGTTACCTTTGCATTTGTGTGGATGGTACAGTACTGATGAATGTGATATAGCAAATAATGTGTAATATTATTCAATGTGTTATATGCATTATGTTGATGAGGTGTTAGTGCAATCGTGTAGAGTTTGGTGGATATGGATATATACACATATATATGTTTCGGTGATTTTTACATTCCTAATTTGAATTTAAAATTTGGTAGGAAAATTGATTATAGGGGGCGGCTAGCCGCCCTAACAAACAAATCTCTAGAGGCGTCTAGAGTTATCCATCCCTAGAAAGATGATTTGTAGAGGTGGCTGGTAATCCCAGCCGCCCCTACAAAACTATTCTTAGAGGTGGATGATATTACCAACCGTCTTTACAAATCAGTTCTCTAGGAAGAAATCCATAATTTCAAGAGACGGTTTGGACGGCTGGCTCAGCTGCCTCTATAGTGTCACACCAGCCGCACCTGTAGAGCCTGGCTGTAGTAGTGTCAGATGAGTTTCCGCACTGAGTTATCTTAGTAATTATATATGTATAGACTAAGATTAAGATTTGATTGTGCTAAGGGTAATACTTTTCAAATCGTTTGTGGTCGCATTGCTGGTTTCTTTTGTACAGTTGAAGGTAAAGTTAACGGTGGAATTGATTAAAGAACAAAGACAATGGACAACAAGCGAAGAGGTGCCTGATGCCATCATTTTTCCACATGATGCGTATGTGATCTCACTTTGAATTACATTTTTGGTGATTTAATCTGATTCTCTACGTTGTGTTCATTATTATAGTAACTTTTTTCGATGAGCTCTGCTGCTTTATTTAAACCAAATTAAAGGATCGGACAGATATTCAGAAAAGACAAAAGGGCAGAGCGAGAAGCAAGTGTGACTGTAACGACACATGCAGCTGCGTTGATTGTTAGGGGCCTGTTCGATATGGCTTCTCGGCGGCGGCTCCAGCTCAGGTTTCTTCGAACGAGCTTTACCAAATGTTTTATAGAAAGAGCCATTTTAAGTGAAAAAACAAAAGAGCCTGAGCTGTTGTGGAGAAGCCACAAATTATGGATACTCAAAATGACTCCGGCTTTTCCGACGAAGCCCCTCGAGAGAAGCCATGTCAAACAACTCTTTATTAAATAAAGCTATAGCGGGCTATAGCCGATAAATTGCACATGAATATAAATAGTTTCACCTATCTTAAACAGCTGTAGCGTCACTATAGCAAAAGGTTTAGAACCTTTATTACTACATATGCCTGCACGAAGCCACGAACCGCTGACACTCGAAGCATCCAACTACACCTAGCAGCCTAGCACTGATGATTTGTCCCACGGAGCTCTACTAATGCCACTTTGCGAGCCCTGTCATTGATCGATCTCACTCTCAAGTCTGAACTATGAAGAAGATGGTATCCGACGGCTATCCATTGTGCGATATCGACAATAGTGCAACCCCACGGCTTCCCTTCGTGTACAACCTTACCATCTTCTACTCGGAGGCCGATCTGCGAGGAGATGAGGAGGCCCTCATGGTGGCCACATCCATCCTCATGTTCGCCCTCGCCGTGCTCTTCTTCATCCTCAACCTCTTCAGCCGTTTCTCCGATGGTAGCGCCAACCTCAACCCAAGCATCCGCATATTCCTCTCCTCCATGCTCTCGCTCTTCCTCCCCGCCACGTCGTACCTCTTCTCGGAGGCCAAGAACCAGAGCAAGGCTGGACATCTGGAAGACCTGTCGATCCGCGCCCGGACCATCCTCATGTGGATGCTCCTGGTGGAGCTGCTCCGCAAGAAGGTGGAGTCCATCCTGCTCACCGCAGGCATACAGGTGTATTCGCACACCGTCGAGCGCGGTGCCCGGGTTGTCTGGCTGGGCAGCCTCATCTTCTTCAACTTGAAGAGCACTGGCAAGAAGGCCCTGTATGGCATCCTGTGGGTGCTTGCGGCTGCCAAGCTGGTCCAGAGGTTCGCGATCATAGAGCTGGCAAAGCGCTCCTTCGCCTACCGCAAGAACCCCAGGCTGCTCAGCGCATACATGGCCGAGATGCTAAAGCTTCCTGCAGATCATCATCGTCATCTCCACCAGAAAGCAGCAGATGAGCAGTGCTCGCCGAGAAGCGATGATGGCGGAGGACAGCCTCGGTGGTCCGACGCTCTGAGGTCCTGCAACTATGCCGTGATGGGCGAAGAAGACCTCAAGAGGGAGCCTGGGCCCCATGGCTACAAGCTCGTGCTAGTGAAGCCGACACCGACAGAAGGGGTAGCAGCCGCCGACAGCGACGACGACTCGACGTCATACTCATACATTGAGGATGTGGTCACTGTCGGCAGAATCTGGAGGCTTGCCGACACTAACCTGTTGCTCCGCAGGGACCCAAGGTTGAAGAGACTCTGCCTCTCCTTTGCGCTCTACAAGTTGCTACGCCGGAGATTGGAGGATCTCCCATCACCCACCTGGAGGCCTCCAACTGCCACGACCTCATCTTCAACGGCCTTCTGGTAGAAAAAGGAGGACGGCGAGGAGAACGCGATGCGGCTGTCGCCGTGATCCAAGTGTTCAGTGACGAAATCCAGTTCCTCTGCGAGTACTACCACTCCATCCATCCCGTGGTGGTGGCCAGCCCCTTCTTCTTCGTGCACAACTACATCCTGTTCCCCATCATTGTCCTGGCGCTGTGCCTACTCATGCTAACTCTGTGCAGCAACGGGGACGTGCACTACGCCTTCCACAGCTTCACCAACGACAACTACGTCATGTCGACTGGCATACTGAAGATGGCCGGGTGCATCCTCCGCCGTGCTTCGCGGTCCGCCCCGTATCTCTTCTGCAGCATCGACATATCCATCACCTTCCTGCTACTCCTCACCTTAGCCTACGAGGAGGTCTGGGAGGTCATCGTCTTCCTCCTCTCCAACTGGTTCATGGTGTCGCTGCTCTGCAGCCACACCTCCTCGGCCACGTGGCGCACGCACCGGGTGCTGAGAAGGGTCATCCCCGCCATCATCGCCGCGAGGAACACGATGATGAACCAACACAATGTCCGCATCAAGCAGCTGTCTGTGCTGTGGTTCAGCCGGCCGCCGCTGCCATGGTTGCCGCTGCCGCTGTCTACCACTGGCATGGCAGTTGTTCCCATGGAAGCAAAGAAGTTGATCGTGGAACGCCTAGCCAGAGCCAGCTACCATGCCCACCCTCTCAGCAACGGCATGCCTGTTGTACTGTCGGGCGAGCACCGCGAGCTCTCGTGGGCGTGTGACAGCTCCGGTGGCGTTGCCGAGGTCATTCTCGTCTGGCACATCGCCACTTCGCTGCTGGAGGCGAGGTGCCCGGGGCAGAAGGGCACACAGCCGGAACCCGGGCGCGCCGCGGCCACGGCGCTGTCCCGGTACTGCGCCTACCTGGTGGCCTTCCATCCGAAGCTCCTCCCGGACGACAAGGACGGCACGAAGTTCCTGTACGCCGGCGTGAAGAGGGATCTGAGGAAGCTGATGGGGTGGTGCGCTTACTACTGCTCCAGGGAGGTGGACGTGTCCAACAAGCTGTTGGACATTGCCGTGCAGCAGCAGCCACAGCAGGGGACGAGCAAGGTGATATGCAAGGGAGCCAGGCTGGGGAAGGCTCTGATCGACAAGTACAAAGACGGCGCGCGCGAGAGCGTGTGGAAGCTGCTGGGAGACCTCTGGACGGAGGTGGCGACCTACGCGGCGCCGGCGAGCGGCGAGATGCACGTCAAGGCACATAAGGAGGCGCTGGTGGGGGGCGGCGAGTTCATCACCGTGCTCTGGGCAATAGCCACCCACACCGGCATAACCCGGCAGGAAGATTCGGTGGAGCCGCCGCCTCCATCCGCTTCCGTTTCCTGTCGTGTTTAATTTCAATTATGTCGCGTCGATGATGGCATGGTTGGTGAGAGTTTGTTGCAAGCATGGTTTGTGTGTGTGTTGATTCCAGCATGGTGTGTGTTGGTGTGACCGTGTGAGCGTTTTTTCATAAGACTTGCCGCGCTGCTTCCTTCGGCTCTCGTTTCATTTTTTTTTAATTATACAAGCAGCCACGCCTAATGCACGAAGCGGAGTCACAAGCCGAACATAATCCATCGACGAACGAACGATAAAGATCAGATTGTCTTGAAACATAAATTATAAAAGAAAGTATCCAAATTTTTCTTAAACTATTACAACTTGAGTTCTAGCCCCACCAAAGCATAACTGTAATAACCTATAATAAATCATCGAATGCGAATAATCCACAAACAAATATTATGAGCTAGCTGCGCTGCATCTGTTTGTTGTTGCTAGAAGCTGATGATGCTAGCCGCTCATGTTCTTCTTGCTAATGAACATATATATCATTGTATTAGAAGAATGCAAGTTTAGATAACAAGAGTAAGCGACCGAAGGCCGCGCTGAACACAGGGGCTACATTGCTATATAACAACACACGACTCCAGGAGAGGACCTGCCATGGCTAATGCCCAACGAGGCTTCCAAGGCCTTTTGCTCCGGCCTGAATCCATCGGTCTCCTTCATCCTTGATGAGCTGCATAAGCTCGGTCGCCGAGGTCGAAGACCCGCGAAAGCATCTTGCATTGCGCTCTTTCCACACATGCCAAGACACAAGGGCAAACAGAGAGTCCATGCCGGACCGCTGCGGATCGTTGCAGCCTGCTCGAAGATGCTTCCACCAGCTGAAAGTTGTTGAGGCGAGTTGTGGAAACGGTCTGTGTAGCACTTGTAGGATGCGGTGCCATACCTCACGTGAGTAGGAGCATGAAGCGATGATATGATCGATGGTCTCCACCTCTTGATCACACAGGTAGCACATTTCCCTTGACTTGAGCCCGCGTCGCAACCTTCTATCCCCAGTCCAATGGTGCCGCCGAAGGGCCAGCCAAAGAAAATTTTTTACCTTAAGTGGCGCCCACGTCTTCCAAACTAGATGATGGCCTTTGAATTTGATTGATCCAGCGTGTAGCATCTTGTATGCAGACCGAGCGGAATATGCTCCATCTTGAGTCCAGCGCCAGATAAGCTTGTCTGCTTGATTGCCGAAGCGTACGCTGTCGGTTGCCTCCCAGATGTGCAGGTATTCGCCGATAGCGTCAGCAGACATTCTGCCCGAAATACCCCGGACCCACTGCCTTTGTGTCATGCTTGCCTAACCGTTAGGGTCACGCAAGTACGCGTGGGGATCAGTTGGTCGAGGCATGGAGCCACTTCCTTCAGCGGCATTCCATTGAGACAGCAGTCTTCCCAGAAGAGAGCCGTGTGGCCATCTCCGATCTCCATGAACGTGGACGCCCTGAAGAACGCCTAAACTTGAGGCGCAGTCTTGATTGGCAGCTGACTCCAAGCCCGGTCCGCGTCAGTCTTTTGCAACCATAACCATCCGGTCTGGAGCGCATATCCAGTTAACATGAGGTCGCTAACACCAAGCCCTCCCAGCGTTGTTGTCTTGCAGACAATCGGCCAAGACACCATACACTTCCCCTTCACCGAAGCGTCATTGCCTGCCTAGAAGAATTTCCTGCATATGGCATCAACCTCATTGCGTGCCCAAGTTGGCAAGTCTTCGGCCATCATAGCGTAGATTAGCACTGCACGAAGCACTGATTTCTCCTAGACCAGGCGACCACTCCTAGCCATGAGTGAGCCGTGAGAGGGTGGCAGCTTCCGGGCGATGGATTCTACTACCTCCTGGAAATGTGTCTTTGGGATCTGTTTGGTACTCAGTGGCGGTCCAAGATATTTGAGAGGAAAGGGCTAAACCTGACAACTGAATATACTAACTATATTGTCAATATTGTCTTCCCCACCATATATCGAAGTGATTGAACATTTTGATAGGTTGGTCTTCAGTCCTGACGCCTCTCCGAAGATGATTAGGATTCTCTTGACTGCCCGAGCTTCCTGGACTCTTGGCCGAATGAAGAGGATCACATCACCAGCGTACATGCTGCACTGATAACGGACTTCGGATGGCTCCAATTTCCGAAGCACTCTGTTGTGGGTGACCTTGATGAATAGCCTATGCAACACATCAATTGCAAAGATGAAGAGCATCGGTGATAATGAATCCCCTTGCCGCACTGCCCGCAAGTGCTTGATCGGTGGTCCTTGCCGTCCGTTAAGTAGGATTCGTGAAGACGCTGTACAGAGCAGGGCTTCGATCCATCTGCGCCAGTTGTCACCAAAACCCCATGCCTGGAGGACCTCCAATAGGAATGGCCTGGAGATAGTATCAAAAGTCTTCGAGATGTCCAGTTTCAAAAGCAGCATTGGGATCTTTTTTTTTCTGATCATAACCGCCACCCTCTGGACAAATTTGAAGTTGTCGTGTATGATTCTGTTCCTGACGAAAGCGTTCTGGTTCTTTGCAATGATATGCTGGAGCCGAGGTGCAAGACACAAAGCCATCAGCTTGGACACAAGCTTGGCAAAGCTATGCACCATGGTTATTGGCCGGAAGTCTCCTGGTGCCGAAGGGCCCACCTTCTTTGGCAGCAGCACAATCAGATCGTTGTTTAGTCTGTGCATTGACCTGGTGTCATGTTGTGTGAACGCTTGTATTGCCTCCATGACCTCCAGCCGGATGAGGTGCCGGGTAGATTTGTAAAATGCCCCGGTGAAGCCGTCGGGGCCCGGCGCCTTATCCGTCGGCATTGCCTGGATGGCCGCCCACACTTCCTCCAAGGAGAATGGGACCTCTTGATCAGCTAAATCAATTGGTTCAATACCCAGCGCCTGAAAGTTCAATGTGTTGCCCGTGGACGCGGCAGTCCCGAACACTCCTTCAAAATGTGCGTGGAGCACAGCTTCCATCCCGTCGTGGTCTGCGACCAAGTGGCCGTGCACATTAAGGGAGGTTATGAAGTTCCTCCGCTTCCTGCCCCTAGCAATGAGATGGAAGTAGGCGGTGTTCGCGTCCCCTTCCTGAAGTTGCCTGACTCTCGACTTTTGTCTGGCAATTGTCCTGTCCAAGGATGAGAGACCGAGGCAGCGCATCTTCATGCGTTTTCTGAGTTCCGACTCCTCTGGCAACAGCTGAGCTGTCGTTGCTCTTGTGCAGTGTCCAGGTGCAGTACTAGCTCTCTAGCCATCAACAGTTGCGACCTGATCTCTCCAATTCTTGTTGAAGACCACCGCTGCAACTCCCTGACCACTCCCCTTATTAGCATGTCGTCAAGGCGCAGCAGCGGGTCCATGTGGTTGCCAGGTCTCCTCCAAGCCCGCACGACCGTGTCCTCGAAGTCGTCGAACTTGGGCCAGAACACCTCAAAGTGAAACCTGGTTTTATGCATCCGGCCCAGATTAGTCTGCAGCAACAATGGCCAGTGGTCCAATGCGTCCGAACCTAAACCCTGCAGGTGAGCGTTGGGGAACAATTCATCCCAATCCATAGACACCAGGACACGATCCAGACGGACCAAGGTTGGATTCTCCCTTTCGTTACTCCATGTGAATGCCCGGCCATGTAGGTGTAGGTCTTGTAGTTCCAGGGCAGCCACCGTGCGCCTGAATCAGCGGAGATTTGCCTTGTCAATCCGGTCGTTACTCTTGTCCTCCTCGTTGAGGATGAGACTGAAGTCTCCTGTAACCGCCCAGGGTCCCTGACAAGCATCCCGTATTGCCTCAAGTTCCTCAAGGAAGATGGCTTTGTCCCTGTCCTCCTGAGGGCCGTAGACGGCAGTGAGCCACCAGTTGGGCGCAGCGATATCTGCGTTCATCACTGGCTTGACCGCAATGGTGATGGAGTAGCACCCCACAAGGACATCAGAGACGACGACGTCCTGGTGTTTGGCCGCAACCAGAATACCTCCGCGTTCGTTAGAAGCCGGTAGGTAAGCGAACTCTCCATAGTTCATACTGAGCATGGAAAGTACCAGAGACTAGGGAATGGCTCCCAACTTGGTCTCCATCAGACAGACTATGCTCGGTCTGATGTCGTTCACAAGCGTTCTTACATTGTCTCGCTGCGCTCTCGCATTGAGGCCACGAAGGTTCCAGGAAACAACGGTCATGTTATCCATTGAGATGTACAACTTGGTCCAGGCACACCGAACCGCCTAGACGGCGATCATCGTGGGCCGGCGGGTCGCTCTACCAGCCCGCATTTGAACTGCTGGGAGCAACTCATCCAAGGCCGCTACTTGTGTCGACGACAGGTTAACCTTGAAGATGGACTCGTACAAGCGTTTCACTGAAGAAGAGACTGGCAGCGGGAGCTGATTCGGTGTCGATGTTGTCGGTAGCGCCTGTAGTATCTTCCTGGGTCGGCGCATGTTCCGTAGAGGGTGGTGCCGCTTGCAGCCCGGCGGCCTCAAGGACCATGGGGTCCGAGGCCAGCTTTTCAGCAGCATCTCCATCCTTGTCGCTGTCCTTCTCACTGACAGGATCCTCCTCGATCAATGCTTGAGAGCTGGGGTGGAGGGTTGTTGCGGTTGCCGGTCCACCAAGTAGCCCCGCCTCGAAGACCTTGGGGTCCAAACACATCAGCACCAGCTTGCATGAATGCCTCCCGGCCACCAAAATCTGCTGAGAACCCAACAATCTTCACCACAGCAGCTCCCATGGCACGGATCTTGGCCACAGCCTGCCAAATAATCCACCAAGAAATTAAATTTTTGTCAGTTATGAGTCTTATTTTAATGTTTTATGATGCTTAAGTTTACATTATATCACTGGGGCAATCAAAAGTCTACCGTATTGGTTCGCTAGCTTCATATACGCTGCCAGTTTTTTTTTTGGTTATACTGTAACGTAATACAACCATGGTTCTAAATCTCCGGCTATAGCGGCAGCTATAGCCGGAGATCTCCGCTGGACACGGCTACAGCTAAGATATCTAATTTTTAGCGCTAAGTGTTGGAACC